GTACTTACTTTACTTACTTACTTACTGTACTGCAATGTTTAAACATACACAGCTAAAATCTTTATATAATAGAATCATAACAATCTTTAAACAAATCTAAATGTAAATAAATCCAAGATCCCCACCCATGTGTCAAATATTTGGGAGTGGCCAATCAGGTGTCAGAGGTAGAACTCCTCTGGCTCCGCCCCCTGCATCATGATATGTGAGGTATCCTGCCTCAAGGACAATCAATTCTTAAAAAGAAAAAGATAAAAACTCAACCAGGAACACAGCTGCCTCTTGAATTACTTTCAATAAATAAACCATATTTTTAACATCTGAATTATTCATTTTAAAATAAACTGTGAGACTTGGTTAAGATATAAAACATACTTTATTAATTATAGGGGCCAGTCAGAATCCAGACCTGAATCCCATCCAGGAGCAGAACACTGTTCATATTCAAATCTACTGGATAATAAAGGTTGACAGTTTTAATCAGATATATAGTTTGTTTTTAATTAATCACAAGTTACTTTTCCATCTAATTAGATCAATTTTTGTATCTATTCTAATTTTGTCCTCATGTTTCTGTACTTCCTGTGCAGCACTGAGGGAAAACCTGTAATTCTCAGAAGAGCCAGAAGGTGGAATCAAAGTTCAACACCAGGATCAGGGTTTATAATTTGGTTCTTATGGAACCGGGGTGTCCGGTTCTGGTCCTGGAGGGCCACTATCCTGCAGGTTTCAGCAGTTTCYCTGCAGGTCTTTGAGTTAAACGTCTAAAAGGATCCATTCATTCATTTTCTTTACTCTTTCAGGATCCTGCTGGTGAACGTCTGAGCCTGACGTGTTGATGCTCTGAGGAGGGTAGATTTACGAGGATTTGTGTGCAAAAATCACACGTTTCTCCTCCAGCGAGCGGCGGGAGGACGAGGCATCACCTCGGATTAACTGATAGAAGCAGGAGGGAAAAAACCATCAACGCAGTTTAAACAACAAAACCTTTATTCATGCAAAACAACTGAAGACAGCAGAACTAAAACTTGTTTTATTAAAACATTTCTCTGGATAAACAACCAACTGAACGAGAACAGGCCCAAAATATCTGTTTAAATGGAACCGAAGGGAGTTAAACCAAGCCCTCCTCCGGGTCCACGTGAGCGGTCCGGCTGCAGAACAGGTCGGCCAGCATGTGTTTGGGGATCTCGGAGCCGCGGACGCGCAGCGTGTAGCAGGCGTCCTCCACCTTGCCCAGGCTCTGCCGCAGCGTGTGCAGCTTCTTGGACACCTCGTACGGGCCCGTGTTGCCGATGAAGGAGAAGCCGTCGTAGATCTGACGCAGGAACTGGCTCAGCTGGAAGGGCGTGTCGATGTCGCCGTTGCCCACGCTGCTGATGCACATCCGCATCAGCTCGCCCGTCAGGTCGGCCACGCCCAGCAGGTAGTCGGACGGCGTCACCTGGAAGGTCAGGACGTACGCTCCCGGTGGCTCGGCTTCAACCGAGCCCTGAGAATAAAATGAACAAAATCACAGTTTGAACACAGAAACTAGAGAATCTGCTGAAAGATGTCAAAACTGCTGAGGTCAGCTAAATTTAAACAGATGATTTTAGCTGCAAGAAGGAAAACTAAAGCAGAAACAAGCTGAAATTAGCAGACAGATGGTGAACAGAAAGGAAAAACGCTCTCGTTGGCAGAAAAGGTAAAACAGTGAAAGCAAACGAATTCAGAAAAATTGCTCAAAAGTAGCTGAAAAAGATGAAATCAGCAGAAACGCAGAAACGTTTTGCTGAATTAAGCAGTAAGAAACTGAAATGATCAAAAAAGATTAATTTAGCTGATACAAGCTCAAATGAGCCATTTTCAGCTCAAAAACAGCTGAAATTAGCAATTTGCTAAAATAAGCATAAAAGCTTAAATTAGCCGAAAGAATCTAATATAAGCTTAAATATTTTAAACTAAAAAAAAGGAGCAGAAAGATACCTGATAAAC